TTAAAGATAGCTAAAATGTCTTCAAATTGTTTTATTTAATATATGAAACATATTTTAAGAGCAATAAAAATTTCTGAGCCCATATACCGCCTAAAACATATTTCCATCGCATTGTGTCCTGGACTTAAATATAACCTGCGTTTGTGAGAAATTAATGAACAATAACATTCTTTGAAAAACATTAAAAAATGTCATATGATTGTATTATACTCTCATGCATACAAATGTGGGTAATTTCTCATAATCAAGGCTTTAGTTGTTTTGAAAAGAGGAATAAATTTAAAGAATAAGCAATAACCTTAAATGTCCATAAAAATAAATCTAAAATAACGGAGATTTAAGAGCTTACGGCCACAAAGAATGTTTCTTCCCCACTATCCTCTTTTTTCGTTCGTTTTAACAATACACTTACACAGTGGAAATGAACCTGTAGTTGTTTTTTAATGAGTACATTCGATGCAAAAATTTTATTCTAACGTTTGATGCTAATATAAAACTAAATAATTAAGAAATAAAGAAACACAATATGATTATTCAACTAGTTTCTCTACACCCAGTAAAGCGATAAGAAAATCTAATGTTGTTGAAAGAGCTTTATTTCCGTCTGATTTTTTAAGATATCTGTCAAGTAAGTTCTTTACGATAAACAAAGATTAGTTTCCTCTTTCTAAGTTAGTTTTCTTTTTCTACGTAGTGCAATCGGTAGTTTCTTTCCTAGCAATAAATCTGTATCAGTGTTGCATAATATATTAGAGACTTTGATATGTAATAACAAACAGCAAGGTATAACATCTAATATTTTTGTAAACTGTTTACATTTTAAAAATTATCAGTTATAACAATGCTCATTTTATACCATAACGCTTTTTCAAATATGATTAAAATAATTTGCAGACATTTAAATAATACCTTTTTTTTTTCTGGTAATATACTAGAATAATTAATCTATGGAACTGGTTCAGAATGTATCAGTTGATTGAGGAGCTCATTTAAGTAAGCGATGTTTTATTAGTCCAAATGGGGCAATTTGCCCAGAAGGATTATAAATTTCATTTTGGCATTTCGCATTGATTCACTATAAACGGCGAATCACTTTTGTAATTGTTGCCACCAAATATTAGAGCGCTGTATTGTATGTAAAGAATATAAATAATGAAGAATCTGCATAAATGTATGTATGTTTCTAGCATTGTGGTAAAACAACGGTACCTAGAGCCATCAAATTTGGAATAACGTAATCCTTCCCCGAATATGGGCATTTGGAATTTATTTTTATTATCGATTTCATATTTTGTAACACTTTAACGAATATTTGATTAACAAACTCAAAGATTTCAAAGCGAGCAATGGCAACACTGTACAAAAAAAAATTATCTCCAGCGCGCGAGATTGTGTATCGAAAATTCTAAAGATATGCTCATTTTAAAATTATTTTGCCATATTGTTGTTGATTGAATTTTATGGCTTAGTGGGAAGAACATGATATTTAATAAATAAAAGTAACACACAAAACATTAAAAAAAACGCCCCTTTGGACATAATATAAAATCTGAAAGCTTTCAGATTTTTAAACTTTTTTAAAAACTTTTTAATCTTTACAAAGCTGATTGTAAAAAATACACGAAATATAGCAAAACAATTGTTCTAAAATAAAAAGTTCATTTGCAACTACATTTTGGAATTATTTTTATCCTTAAAATATTATAGTGAATTTCAGAGTAGTATTGCTAAATAATAATAATAATAAAAAAAGAAAAAGACAGTGAAAAAAGAAAGAAAGAATAGTATGATTATTTTCGCTGGGGAAAACGCATGTTGCAAAACAATGCGCTGCTCTGCACATTCAGCTCTGGCAAAGATTCAAACCTTTTGCTATTGCAAAGAATGCTGAGTTAGGTTTTTCAAGCCCGGCAATTGTTTCTAAATTTAGAATTTGTCCTGGTCGCTAATTGTGTGCTCGAAATACTAAAATAAAAAATCCAGTCCGCCTCACTGGAAACACCTTACAGACAGAAATGAGAAACAAAGGCACGATATCATTCAGGAATGAATTAAAAGAATCTCATGAACCAAAGAACAACTGCAACATTAAAAAGATTTCCAGAGGAAGTAACGAGCATCCGCTTCGTTTTATTTTAGTCATTGTCTACGGTAGGGAAAACGTCGGTCTCGGCAGGTAAACTTTCCCCTCCGGTCTTGCTGAACTCTGCTTGGGGAAAGGAAAAGACTGACTCTGGGTGAAGCCTATTTATGAATCACTTTAAAAAAAAATAGCTGCAGATTGATTTTTTTTTCTTTACCGAAAACATGATGTTCTGGTTTCTTAATTTAGTACATAGAAGTTTTTCCTGTTTGCACATAGTAATTGTATAATATCTGAAGTATTAACATTTATGTGAAATTAATAATAAAGAAATATACTAAGGAAAAATCGGAGTGTTTCTAATACATTTGTAATTAAATGTTATTACGGATTTGTGTAAATTGTGAAAGTATGAATAATATCTATTTTATTTTACGTTTGTGTATAGTGTATTGGTTCTGTTGTTCAAAATATTACATTTTTGTATAGATACATAAATGTACTAATGTACAGTTTCTTTACTTTTGAGTATGAAAAATCTAAACGAATTTTTGTTTAGTAATTATGTTACCTATCATTAGCTGTGGATTTCTGTTACAACAAAATTTAAAATATGTGAGGTTACTTCTTTTATAAGACTATTTTCATCGTATGGGAGCAACATATCTGTAGTTAGCGTGGAAAGTTTTAGCTTAGCACTAGATTATATACTTAAATTAATTTAAACACCATTTTAAAAATCTTATGTTTTGATTACTATTAAAATTAAAAATAAAATGCTCAGGTCGTCAAGAAATTGGAAACGATTTAAGATTACACGAAATTAACAAATGCTTTTTTAAATGAAAATCTTAATTTCAATTTTTTTACTTATTAATGATGAGGGTTACTTTACCTTTTATAATAACGTTATCACCATTCAAAATATTTTGAAAAACTGTTTTTTTTTTTGTAAATATAGTTGAGACATTTATTTTAGCTCTATAAAAATATAAAGTAAGTACGTACAAAACAATACAAAAAGGAATATTGAGAAAAAAACGTTAATATTGATAGCTTATTTTCAAGCATACTACTAGGATCTGATAACTTCATATGACAAGTTTTCAGATTTGTGCTATGAATTATACTCAGATTATTGGCATTTTTAAAATTTTAAATCGTTAATTTCTTATGTCTCGTGTTTTCATTGGATATCCCTATAGAATTACGGCAACTCAATGAGTTTATCATTACTTATGTCTTAATAAATAAAATATAATTATGCTCTTTGTATAGTTCTGCTTTAACCCTGAATAAATTTATGTATTTATATTAGTGTGTATGTGCCGGATTTCAATAAAAATGTCACCTGCATTAACCCCTTTTTTAGGTATATCTTTTCCTTTCATTTGTTTCTTTTTCTAGAGAATAGGCAATTAAAATGAATCTGGATATTTTGAAATAGGAACATAAATTTGAAAATAAACAATGGATCTACAAGGGTTTGGATATTTACAACCTCTAAAACCACCCAAGCGAAAGTGATGAAGCGCTCGATTGTTTTGTTTGACGTTCCTCGAAGCGGCTGACACGAATTCTGTGATCATAAGACCGTGCAGCAAATTCCATAACTCTGAAAATTAAATTTTACGAAATGATAGTTTCTTCGCAACTCATTGCATTTAACTTTTCTTAGTAAACAGTACGTGTTTCTAACGTTTCGGAATTTGAATTGGCCGTATGCATGTAAGAATCGTCTCTTAGTTATTCTGTTGAAGTTTTTCTTCTTCTGGAATCATCAGAGCTCCGCGTTTGCTTTATGAAGACAATAATATAAGCAAAGAAAACAACTCGTGATTTTAATTGTTGATAAAACTATTAAATTAGTTGTGAAAAGTATTCATGCAGGTGATTTGTTATAGATTTCTTAGGTGGAAAATATTTTAATTTGAATGCACTTGAATATCAATTTATGAGTTCAATTCATAAAATACGCGCAAAATCAGAGATTTAATAAAAAAATAATAGCAATCGGTTTTACTTAATTTCGCAAAGAAAATAAAATTTCAAAAAGAAATAGAAAGACAGAGCAGTGGTGGTAGATTTTAACACTTGAGGCAAAGCTGAATATTTTTTCCCTCTATATTACTTTTATCGCTTTCACATTATGTTTAATTTATTACGTTCTGATTATACTTCCTCACTCATTTTTTACCGCAGATAAAATGCTTCACTATCCAGCCATCAATGCGAGAACTCTACAATACAAACAGAAAATACACACCGGCATTGATTAAAAAGCAATCCTTCAGTATATATTTGACAATTTCCTTTTTGAATGCCATCTACTTCATATACATTTTAGAATATCGAATTCAGTCATCCCTTCTATGCTCAGAAATGTAAATAATATAGACACAAAATCAGCATTATCATCAATGCAAATAATAATAATTTAAATAACTCTGCTCAAATATTTCATAATTAAGAAGGAAGTCTGCTTCTTAATCGAAACTCAAATTTGGCAGTTTATCAAATCTTTTAAAAGGAAACACATAATGGGAGATCATTTATCCTAAACCTTCAAAGATGCGCTATAACAGATATTGAAGAAAAGTTAAATAAGATAGATTACAACAAAATGCATGCTACCTGTAAAATAATAAAACACGTAAGATATGAATTCGATCTCCTGCTGCTGTTGGAAGAGAGAGATTTTGAATGATTGTTTATCTTTTTCCCCTCCCTCTATTGATCATTTTGGAAAGAAAAAAATGCTTTTTATCCTATCGATTGAATATGCACATCTAAAGGCAAGTTTTAGAAAATAATATAAGAAATTCGGATGCCGTCAACCAAAGGGCAAATATCGAAAATAACAATCGATAACAGCTCCTGCGAAAGAGCTGCGGTGCAAATGAGATAGGATCCGTACCTGCTATCTATCGCATCCGGGTCACCAGGTCGGAGGTAATCCAGAGGAGGACAGGGGAGCCCAGGGACTCCTTTATGGACCGCCTTGCTCCGGGAACAGCCCGATACTGACGCTTTTACTCCGCTCCTGCTGCCATCTGCCGGCTCGTACTCCAGCGCCCTTACCTACTTATTGATTGGCTTGAATGTCGCCTTTTCGAATGCCGCAACATAGGCCAGCGACCAGGGCATACTTAAACGGGAAGACAGTCGAGACCTAGAGCTCATCAAGGTGGAGGAAAAAATAAAAGATTCTCCATAGGGCACTCAGGATTATCCGAACCTAGAAACTGCCACTCTACAAAGGATATAAGAACATTTTACCTCCGCGCGAGCATACAGAAAAAAGATGCTCTAAGAATTCACTAAAAGGGGTGTAAATGTGATTAAATTGGAGTTATTAATAAATATAATAATAATGAAGCATGTATTTCCATTATGCGTTTTGTTAGAACTTTTAAGAAATAATATTTTTTCATATAGTTTAAAGCTTTTTCTTTTACTCTTAAACATTTTGTGGCTCATATAAGTATTTACTTTGAAGTAACTTAAACTTTTATTTCGAATTATTGAAATATAAGCTTTGATGGATTAAATTAGCGGTTATGATAAGTGTTGACAGCCTATAAAAAATTCCAATAATAAGGTGATGTTCTGAAGACGCTCGAAAACTAAGCTTAAATTTTTCACTGGGAAAAATGATTGATTATGGAATGAAACTAATATTTACATCTTTCACTAATTATTTTAATTTTAACTGTAAAGAGAAAATTTTAAATTTTCCCATTAACATACTGCAAATGGATTTCTGCGAACCCTCTAACGCACATATTTGGTCCGCCGTAATGCAACTGCTGTGAAACATTCAGTAGAGACAGAATGAAAAAATAAAATGGGTCAATGGGATGCTTAATAATATGGGACAAAGAAAGTATAAAATGCTATGAAATCTTTGCTATGAAAAATACTAATGAAGCGCAATAAATAGCCATTCGTAATCAAGAGAAAAAATACTGCTTTTCCGACCTGAATACGAGAAAGGGCGATGTAATCTTTAATAATTTACAGACTTTAATTTGCTGGGAATACAATGTAATCTTTTGACGGGAAAGAAATATGGGATTTTATAAGAAGGACGTCTGTGTTTCTTTTTTAATATCAAAAGGAAGTTAAAATAGAATTAGTTATATAATCTTGCGAAGTATTTAGACCTGGCTGAGGATCGAATCTAGCTCCTCTTCTCCATGAGCAGATATTCTATCTGCTATCTGGTACAATTAAAGAGCTCTGTATAATTTCTACTTAATCACAAGATTCTCTTAACTTGGCCTTGACTGTAATTTCAAGGAAAGGATAATTTGCGCTAAAGTAGTAAAATATAAATTATAAATATTTAATGAATTTTTTTTTTTAATTTTGAAAAACCTCCTCAAAATAAATAAATAGATTTAAATAAAAAATATGCGACAAAATTAGCCAAAATTAAAAGCGGTTAGTCCGTTTATTAATTTTATTACTTATTCCTCTGATGAAAGCCGTGTTTGAAATAATCCTTATTAGTCTACTATTTTATTAACTTTTAATTCTTTTACTTTTTATTTTATTTAAATTGTTTATAAAATGTTTCATATATTGAAAATTGATGGCCTATACATTTATTAATTTTATCACTTAATTTTTTTATTTATATTTATTGGTTTCTGGGGAGATTTTAAAGTTTCTAAAAAAATGTTTTCATTACGTTTTATATATATACATGTGTGTGTTTCCCGGAATACCTTCCAAATTCCAAGCCTAACTAAAATGTAATTGCCTAAATTTAAATGTAAATGATTACAGCGTTATATTTTAAAGAATACTTCCCCCCCCGTAGTCTTTCTTTTCTCCACCTGCCCCCCTCTTTTTTGGGGGGATTTCCTCAGAGAGTTGTTCAGTTGGAAGGGGACATCTGAATTCTTGCTATTAAGCAAATTGATAGTATACACAGAAAGGAAGCAATAAAATGTATGTATAGAATTCAAATATTTATCTTCATACGAAACAATTTACATACAAATGTAAAAATTAAAGAAAGGCAGAAATGACTCACCGAAAACCGAACAAGAAGACAAATTTCAAAATTTCGTAATGCAATTCTTCATCATGTCCAACTAAATTCTGCAAAAGATAATCGGCATTCATACATCGAGAAGAAAAATAAAGATCCCCCATTTACAAAACAAAAATTCTTTCACGTTATACTGCAAAAATGAAAAAATTTTACACGAACATGGGAAAATATAAGTCGCAGTTATCAATTTCATTTATTTTGTATATTCTAAAAATTACCTTTTTTTCAGTTACAATGAAAACTTATTTCTTACCAAACATATATAAAAAAATTAATAACATTCTTTAAAAACTGATGTCAGACTGATAGAAACGGTTTTCTTCTTAAGCATCCTCAACGCTTACAGAATAATAAATTTTTACAACTTACGTATCTTCTATTTCATGATTTTAATTTTAGAAGTTGTACTGCTTTTGCCATTCAAGGTAACCTCTTTTTATAATATATAGGAGTCATATGAATTTTTGTTTAAAAATACGTATAATATAATAATTTTTTGTAATCTTGGTAAACAGTAATTATATATCTTTATAATTTATTTTTACTGTAATGTATCACAGAATAATTTTCAAAATTAAAATATTTATATATTAAGTAATTAAAATAATGAGAAATGTAAAAATTAAATATCTAAATGCATATATATGGTGCTTAATTTTTAATCAGGTGTTCAGATTTGGATGAATTTTGATATCACATTATTTTTAATATTGGAAAACGTAATGTGATGATGTATGCGTAACAAATCGAACATTAGAAATCTTAACATTACTTAATAATAAGTTTATCAAACTCTGCGAATTTAGTTTTGGAGCACCAGTAATTTGCTTTAGCGATTGGAATGCGTTTATTAGTTTTAAGCTGAAATCCTTCGTTTATTTATATTTCCTTTATAATAATACAATAGATGGTAACATACGTCGTCATTCACTTGATTTTTAATAAGAAAGTTACGTTTAAATAGAAAACGAAATAGTACTGTTTAATCGACTTTAATCAAAACCTAATGGAAGTACAAAATTATAACGGGGACTTTGTAAATAAGTTGTAATTTTTGGACTTTTTTGAGTTATGAGAAGAAATATATGCACAATTTACACATAGTCTCATATGTACTTACGCAATATCTCAAAACTTATCTGCAAGATTTCTGTATCATAAAAAAGAATATTTTTTATGCATAAGTCTATATAGAATTATTATCTATATATAAAAGGAAAATAAAAGGCAAGATAATAAAGGGCGTTTAGATACATTTTGAGTCGTATACATCTTGAATAATCTGATATAAATTCTCTGCTTATGATAAGTTTTTAATGAATTTATGTTATTATATATAACCTTGCCTTAAAAATAATCTTGACACACCTTTGCAAAGAAGAACATTTTATGGAAAAAGTGTTTAATATTAAAACGAAACTCTTGCTGTCTAGAGATTAATCCGCATTCTATTGTGTAGCAAACAGTATAGCATCACCTCGGCCTTAGTCTACGAAATTTGATTCAAAAGTCCACTTTTTAGATTTTCCAAGCAATTTATTATGTTCCTATCTAATGAAATGTTAAATTTATTTTACTATGCATTTTATAATGAGTTATTTTTCTAACGCAGTAAATATTCAGATGTTGGCGCAGTGGCTATCGCATCGCGCAGCAGCACCACAGGTACGGGATTCAATTCCCGGGCTTGGCAAGGTCGACTCAGCCTTTCATTCCATCACTTGGGTCGATAAAACGAGTACCAAGTTCGCTTGGGGACTAAACACTGGGGGTCCTGCGACAAGTTGTCCACTTGTTCAGGGCATATGCTTACGAACCCCGGGGCCCACGGTCAAGAAAGCAGATTTCGGGCGCTGCAGGCCTTAACCCATTAGGTCTGTTGCTCCACTGAGTTTTTTTAATATTCAGATGCAATTCGAGTATTACAATGGGAAATAAACTACTCTGTGAAATTAAATGTAAAACATACTAATTAAAAATTAAAAATAAATTTACTCTTTAGCAACACAGAATCAATGCTATAGACCGAAGATATATTAGTATTTACAGCATGCTTTATATAGAGTCAGTTTTGGTTAACAAAGCTTTTAGTTAATCTGCGACTAGGTAGACGAAATCAGGGTAGATAATCAAGGGAAAATATTAAGAGAAAAAAATAACAGTTTTGTTGCCTTATTTAGATTATATTCGATCCGTCGTCTTTTATTTTGATATTATTTCTCCGCTTCTTTAATGGGGAACTTAACACAAAATATTAAGCTCAAATCGTTCGAATATACGTTATTCGAAATTAAATAAAAAGAAAAAAAAATAGAAGAATTAAATAAAGGAAAAAAAACTATTCTGTACTGAAGTACGTAATATATGGCATTAAAAATACCAATAAGGTTGACAATTCCATTCATAATTATCCATTCTACACGCTTTATATACTAACTGTATTTTAAATTATATCAAATATGTGTACATTAAAAAAATCCCAAATGATTTTGTATTGAGGTACATAATATTTGGCATTAAAAATATTTTTATTTATTGTAACAGTATTGAAAATTATCATAAAAATTGTTAGTTGAATGGATTATAAATTAAATACATTTAAAATTTCATCAGTTACATATATTTTCGAAAGGTAAAATGAAGACTTAAGTTTTTTAAACCGCTTAACGTTTTTAGCAATACAACTGAAAGTTGAGCGATAAATTAAAGATTTGTGGCATATCTCTTGAATTTGACTACTTGAGGGGCAACATGAAAGACAAAGACGTTATAATAGGTCAGGGTTGGCCAAACTTCATGTCTGTAAGAGCCGCACGTTTGAATTCAGGAATGTTCGAGAGCCGCATCTAGATTTTCTAAAAGCCACAAGTTCATATTTACATTATTATAGAAGTAGTGGAAGATGATTTTAAATAGAAAGAAATCCCCGATAACGTTATAAAAAGAGTCTAAACTAACTAATTACTTCTTTTTGGACACTGAATAGTTTTAGTTTACCATATTTCATACA